TACTTTCTTTATTATACATGATTTTAATAAATATTTTTTGTATAATTTCTACCTGATTTAAATGATTTTGTATGAGGCTCCTCACCCAAAATAATCCTATATTGCAATAAAGAATATATTACAGGAAAATTAACTATTTTCAAACTCTTTGAATCAAAGATGCATAGAGTTCAATTTTTTTATTTGAATAGGATATATCTCACTTTCTTGTTTAAAAATGTAATATTCATCCCACCTTCAAAATCGGCCAAATGCAACATTAAGATATTTGGTGATGTTTATTTGATGAGTTGTTTTAATCTTTGAATTTAGATACCATGTTAAATTATTAAAGTAAGGTGTTTTACTTTCACTGCAATTAAACGCAATATAATTTGCTTTTTCAAAATTTGAGCAAACTAAAATTTTTTATGAATATTAAATCTTTCTCAATGACCTCCTTAACATTTTCCATTAATCAGCTATATATAGAATTACTATGTCGTCGGCGAACAAGGATATACCTGTACTTCCAGCACTATTTAATTTTAATAACCGGTCAATATATATGGAAAACAAGATAGGTCCCAATATTATATCTTGGGGAACCCCAAAGTCGACACTTAAGTCAGTAAACATTGTTTCCAATTTTTACATACTAAACTGGTCCCTCTAGGTAAGTTTTTAGGAGATTCAGGGAGCACCCCTAAAACCAAGGTCCACTATAATGTATCATCATCTTATGGTCAACTGTTTCGAAGGTCTTGGCCTAGATCTAAAAATATACCTAAAGTGGACTTTCAGATAGATTATTGTAACTATTACTTGTTGGGTGAACAATTGCATTTTCGATGGACCTTCCTTTTTTAAAATCAAACTGTTAGTTGATAGTAATTTATTATACGATATTTTGAGAGATAATTTGATATCAGTATTTCTCTCTGTAGTACATTTATGTTACTATCTGTATAAAATATAACTTTTTAATTTCTATGTATTGTTTACTTTTATTATTTTAGTATCGATATTTGAATTATTCAATTATTATTATTTAAAAATAATTAGTATCATTTAGTATTGCCACATGCAATGATAATATAATTATTAAAATATTTTAAATAAATCCATATATTTAATATATTTTGATCTACCTACACAATTACTATGGAGCTGTTTCAAATTATAGGTTTTCATTATCACTAGGAATTTTAGAACAATCATTGGAAGCACCTTCCTTCAAAGTTGCAAAAAAAGGAAACAGCACAAAGAGGTACAATAATAGACGTGGGGAATGTGAAAGGCTTTGGAAAAGGTACGAGCGCCAATACAATTTCCATACGGAGTTCTCCACGTATAGGAAATTCCGGCGTGAATCTATCAACGTAATTTTATCACTATATTAAATTGACGTTTTCAATGTTTCCTCCCCATTTGTCGAAATAATTCCGTCGGTTATTGAATAAAAGCACAATTTGCTATTTGAAGCTTTTCACGAAATCCTAATTTCGAAGAAAATGCAGACGGCAGAACCGGAGCGAAAGCTAAATTGCATTAAATTATAAACACGCTTTTCTAAAATGAAACCAATTACTCGAATGCTATGTGAATATTGGTAGTAGGTGGAAGCTTGTAGCTCTCCTAGAGGAGAACGTAGACTATTCCTTTTACAGCGGAATTTGGGAGTTGTGTACATTTGTTAAACTCTCATTATGGCAACATTTAATTTTAATTAGATGAATACATCAAATTTTCTTATAAATTAACGAACTTTTACTGTGCATATCTTCAGATATATCAAAACTTGATAATATGAAATGAATGAATATAACTCTAAAAATAATTAGATCGTTTTTGAAGTGAAGCAAAATGCGCATGTTTACAATTTTGTGCCGAAACAACAATTGTAGAAAATTTTTACATATTATATATACAGGTGATTCACAACTTATCCAAAAAAATTTGGGAATAGATGTAGTGTGAGAAATGGACTCAATATCGTAAAAACAATTTTTGTACAATTCTTATAGTTTCCGAGAAAAAAATTGTTGTAGTACAGTTAACATTGCTGGACAACTGTAGTCTCTAGCGTCATTCGCAATCTGATTTTACAATCGTCGTTGCGATAGTGTTTACCTGTTATCTGTGGTGTTTACAGTAGTTTTTTAGTAGTTAGTGTCAAAAATGGTTTGCGTACATAGCAACTCGGAGTTGATGGACATTGTTTTAGTTTATGGTGAAGCAAGAAAACACTTGTATTATGGTGAAGCATTTGTGTTATGGTGAAGAAAGATAACATTTGTATGAGTTCGTATAAACTGAATAAGACGGGCCTAAATGTGTTTACACATAGGTGGATAAAATGTATGTCAAATTATTTTATTATTTAAAACCACAAATTAATTTCATTAATTAATAATAATGATAACAGCAAAAGCAATTGAATTTGCTGATATAAAATAGGTTATAAAATTATATTTATTTCTTTCCTTGCGAAAGTTTTTGTCCGTTTTTATCACACTTTGCGGCCATTTTTTCTTTACAAAATTGTATTTGTAAGAGTCCCCTGTAGTCCAAAATTGTTTTTTTTGGGTAAGTTCTGAATCATCCTGTATGTATGTACATAGTTTAATAAGTTTAACATAATTCCATAAAGTTATCAACGGGATTTAATTATAACGTCCAGCTAATTGTTACCTTCGCTTGTACCGCCCCCCCGACTGTTACGCCACTGATAATTCGTCTGCCGGCCCGTGGATCTATTTAGTATGCAGAATTTTCAGGTGACGGTGCGCCGTAAATAAGCCGGTGCCTACTTCATCCTGAATATAAAGCAGCTGAATGGCTGTTCCGAACTAAAATTAGTTCAGCTTTCAGTCATTAACGAGGGCTTGATTAAACATAATGTCGCATTTTATATCCGCATTAAGTCGTATGAATTAGTTTTATTTCAACGGGTGCCCCGACGGCTCTGTTTTTCATTAAAGTTTCGAATGAGACACATTGTTATCCCGGAAAATATATTTATTTAACTAACAACACGAAAATTTGTCATTTAACTTTTTGGATCAACATGTATAAAAATGCGCTTATGAAAAATCACAGCCACACAAAAAAAAGTTGTCTGTACTTTTCATGCGACATATGTTATTCGAAGTATTTTTGCCTCCTGATCACGAATCCCGTGTCAGAATTGAGCTATCACATCACAGGAATATCCTAACCTAAAAACACAGGTAGCAAAAAAATAGCAAAAATTTACGAAAAAGTGTTGGGGAAAATACAATTTTTTTTTTCTATAGTCAAATGTTCATTTATATGGATAAGACCCCGCCGAACTTGAATTCGCGGTCAGAATTGATGGTTCCATTTCTAACCTCAAAAATACAGGTCAGATGTCAAGAATTTTCCAAAAATAACAGATTCGCGCCAAATTTGGTATACGGGGGTTTTTGGGGTCGCTGATCACGGATCCGAGGTCAATTTTGCAAAAGTCAAGATGGCGGATCCAAGATGGGCGACCAAATTTTCAAAAAATGACAGATTCGTGCCAAATTTGGTATAAGGGGCTCTTCGAGGTCGCTGATCATGAATTCGAGATCAATTTTGCTAAATTCAAGATGTCGGCCCACCAAATTTTCAAAAAATAACACATTCGCGCCTAAAAATGACTGCAAAAAAACTGTAATTTTCGCCCGTTTTTTCACAATTCGCAGAGAATTAAAAAAAAATACATAAAAAAATGTTTTTGGTCGCAAATTGTCGTAAAAAACTGAAACGAGCATAGCTTTTAGTATTTTGAAAATTTTAAAAATCACCTTACTTAGGGGTTGAAAAAAATGAGAAAAATGAATTTGAATATTACCAATTGATATAAAAACTATTAGCATGTGAATTATCTTAATAGGTATATTTTTTTTGAATTTTTACAATTATTTCTGATAATCTCTATTTTTGGGGATGATTCCACCCCCATGAGCGCGCTTAAGGGTGGATTTTCCATTTCAGTCATGAGAATAAATCTTTCTTTGTATCAAGGATCATTCGATAGAAAAATTCACATACTATTGGTTTGTATATTTATTGGTAATATTCAATTCTTCATTTTGGGCGTCTTTTCAACCTCTAAATAGGAGTGATTTTTGAAAATTTTCAAAAAACTAAAAGCTATGCTCATCTTAATTTTTTACGACGAGTAATTTGAGACCAAAAACATATTTTTATCTATTTTATTTAGTTCTCTGCGAATTGTGAAAAAGGCGGGCGATTTTTGTGGTCACTCTTTGTTATACAGAGGTTTACTGGGTCACTGATCACGAATCCGAGATCAGATTTACAAACTTTGTTTTTAAAAATTTAATCAATTACCTATGTAATGGGATTAGGCAGAAAACCCGTGAATAGATCTTTTACAGAAAAAAGCACAAGATATAGCCGAAAAAAAAGAAGATTCAAACATGATTGGATTATAAAGTAAACAAAATTATTACAAAATAAAATTTGGAATTTGGCGCGAATCAGTTATTTTTGAAAATTTGGCCGGCCATCTTGGATCCGCCAACTTGAATTTTGCAATATCTGACCTTAATTGACCCGTTTTTTTTTGAGATTTGAAAAAGAATCATCAATTCTGACTGCGGATTCACGTTCGACAGTTTGAATATGGAAATAATTTTTTTTTGTATTTTTCCTAGCACTTTTTCGTGGATTTTTGTTATTTTGACCTGTTTTTTTGAAGTTAGGAAATTCCTGTGATGTGATAGCTCAATTCTGACACCGGATTCGTAATCAGGAGGCAAAAATACTACTGATAACATATGTCGCATGAAAAGTACAGACTCCTTTTTTTGTGTGGCTCTGTAATGATTGAAAATATCTTATCTTCCTGCACTGCGAATATAATTTGATTTTCATTTAATTAAACTGCGTTTTATAGATGGTGACCACTAGTGAGATTTACCACCATGTTCAAGCAAAATAATTGTTGGTTTTCATTTTAAAAATATAGGAATATTGCTACATACCAACATCAATAGGTAACTGGTATTTAGATAGTTTGTAGAACCACACTGAGTAGAGTTTCTTACCTGAAACAAAAGAAAATATATATGTTAAAAGGGTCAACTTCTTGCAACAAAATCGAAAATTTTTGTTCATTCTTGTTTCATTAATAATACATCAAAATATAAAAATGTGTTAAGGCTAGTTATAAAAATTAATGTAATTATTATTCCCTAAGGAAACTATAAAATGGTATATCAGCTTATAAGCTGATAACACTCATTTTCAAGTTTTATTACAATTCCTTAAAATCATTGTTGAAGTGGGGGAATAATAATAATAATAATCTTTGTTGGGAACCTCAAAATTAGGACCTTTCATTAACTACATTTACATAGGCAATGCTGTTACATCTGTTTTTATACTACTATTTGGTAGTGCCAAGAGCGGCCAATAGTAGTAGTTAGTCACTTTATGTGTTAATCTAAAATATACTGGAGTTAGTTGCAATGAAACCCAACGTAAATATTTTACTTTGTTGGCAAATCGAAAGCTTTACTTGCTTTGCTTAATACGGTTCTTTTTAACTTTTTTTTAACATTTTGGTATAAATGTCTAAAAATATGTTCTGAAGAAAAAGTTGTAAGGGATTACATATTTTTTATTTTTTTTATTTAGGGCAAATTAAATAAAAATAAACTATTTCTGCCCTATTTTTCCGTATTTTAAGTAAATTGGCGCTGTATCATAATTTCAAGTTGCAAATAATTTCTCCTTCATTTTGATGCTAATTATTTAATTGAAATATCATATTTTTGTTAATATTCTTCGGAGGCTGCTATGTAAAAATATAATAAAATACTTAATATCTTGAAATATGGTATCAATGTATTTTTGAGAATATATTTTGGCGATCTTTCCAACAGTTTAAAGATCTATAGCATTTTGCGTTTAACTTAGGCCCATATCTCTGAAATATTACAATTTTTATGGTGTGTACATCAGAAATTTTTTAAAAACAACTTTGATTTGTAACGTTTTTTTCGTATCTCAAAAATTAACGGAGCGAAAGAGAGCCTGTACACACTCAATCTCATAAATACTAAAAGTTATTAATTTAGAAAGCTAACAGCTGAAAACATAATATACACAAATTACTAACAATAAATTTGAAGACAAAAATCGGTATTTCTTTGTACAAATATACTTTAAATAAAATAAAACACTTCCCACTTGTATAGTTGATTTTCAAAACTCTACCTCGTTTACTGCAAACCACAACACTGAGATTATTGTTCAATGAGCTTCTTCTTCAAATATTAGCGATTGCAAACGGGTCTAGTAGAGACTAGAGGACAAAAAAAAATCCATAAAAAAATGTGTAGATATATTAATTCTATTTATAAAACTGTAACAAGTATGGTATTAAGAATTCTTTATCTTAACTCAAACTGAATTAAATTCGATTCATCACTATAAAAGTTGATCAAAAAAACATTGTAATAGGCTAGTTGACACCACCAAGCGTTGATATACTTTTTATGAGCTGTCAATACGCAATTTTTCTAAAAATATAATATAACATTGTAGTCGTAACACTTTAATTTTATTTTCGACATATTGCACCTCTTGGATTATAATAAAACTAGGCATGCTGCTAGGCAAGACATGGACAAAAATTGCATATTTTTTTCAAAGAGATCTGATAGAAATCGATTTTATTTGCCTTTTTTTTATTTAGGCCCATAGGAACTGCTATAAAATAAACTGTAAAGTATACCATAACGCTGCCATTTAAATTTATTTTCTTAGCTTTGAAATTAACTAAGATATATTGCTTTGAAAAAAAGTCGTCTATTGACACTTTTTTTCAAATAGCTCCTAAATTAACTAAGATATAGAGCTAATATCTACTCGACCAACTACTATTAGCGCCCTCTACAATATAACATATAGGTTACGATATAGGTTCCTATTGGAGGCAGTTTCGCCATGGAAATACGGCTAGACCCTTTCCATGACTATTACTCAATATCTAAAAAACTTGAGAAACATCTCTCAAATTTTTTTTTGTTGTTGAATAATTCATTTAGAAATATGCAGATGGTTGCAATAAGTATTTTATTTGAAACATACGCATATTAACAAATTGGAGGTCAGTGTGTTTCGAAAAGCCAAAGGTATTTATCCCGCATCAGAAAATATGTCATCAGCACGCATAAAGCAAATTCCAACCAAAGAAAAATTCCACCTGGGGCAGGACTCATTGAATCGGAGCAAAATTTTAGCACGTACTCGCCAAAAAGTTTCCGGCTCCTGTCTCTGTCTGCGAAACCACGGAATGAATCCGGAATTCGACAATATCGCAGGGAATAATTCCAACTATTGACCCTGGATATAACAAAGACCGCTATTCATTAAACTACAGCCTCTCGTCAAATTAAATAACACCCAGATTGGGCGCGGGTGCGGTTAACTGTTCCGTGGGTGAAGCCAGGGGCGTAGTTGAAAAAAATTTGCGCAGACAGTGAGAAAGTTTATGACGGATTAGTAATTAATTTTCAGTTAACTGAACAGATTTTGACGTAGACGCAAAGGCGTATCTTCGAAGATAATTTTATACAGGATGGAGACTCTGAATTCTTGTTACTGAAACAAAGACGTGGATAAGTATGTTAAGAACTTTTTTTTAGAAGGTGGATTAATTAGAATCAGAATCAGAAATAAAGGTAAAATAATAGAAAGTTAATAATAAAAAACGATTTAATATAATATTTTTATTATGAGCAATAAAATTTGGTCACAGAAAATAGAAGATATCGTTTTCCTTAGTATGACAGTCTCCTAATGATTACTTAATAGTAGGCAAGTTCGGTATTGACATCTAGATGCTCTAGATATATCTCTTTGTCTTTTCATCTCCCACAATTAGAAAAGAACAAAACACATCTGGAGCGTCTAGATGTTAATACCGAACTTACCTAGTGATTGATCTTCTTGGGATCTACATTTTCGTGATTGGTCAAGCTCATCTCCATCACTTGAAGTTGATCTGTTAATTTTTAGAGATCATGTTCGGGAAAGTGACGATAATCCAAAACATAACCTTCAATATGGTGACCTTATTACCAGGATTACAAGACAATTACAAAAAGTTATAAGTGTTATTATAAAAGCCAACAACCAAAGTAGAAAGTTTCTATTATTAATACAGTTTTCTTCAATTTGAAAATTATATGCTTTGACTGAAATATTTTAATCAACGTTATATGGATAAAAGTAATATCTACTTTCCAACACATATACACAAAATAGATGCAAATAAAGTATGAATTCTATTATTCCAGATTTTGTCTAAAACTGTCAAATCAAGAGATTGTCAATTGTCGTGACAAAGTTAAGTAAGAGAGTTTCTTGGTTCATTGTTTTTAAAATGTAATGCGCTCATTAAATAATTACGAGCAATTTATTTTAGATTTTTGACGTCATTGTCCTATTTCAGATCAATTTTAGAGAGAACCATAAACGGTATAATATTCTGAATAAAAGTGTGTCGATTTATGACACGGGACTCGAATAATACTACAAAAAATGATATGATTGTACAAATATTCATGAAAAGTTGATCTTTTCTAACGACAATTGGCACGGTTGAAAATAAAACGTTGAAATCAAATTCTTGCAAAATCTACTATTATTTAGAGCACACTTCTTGTATACCACTGTTCTTTTGAAATATTGAGATCCAAATATACATTAATTTTAAGGAAAGATAGGGGAAAACGAGTAGAATACGAATATGCGATTAAAAAAAAATTAAAATGCATATTTACCCCCTTTTTGGGCCGCTGCTGACCGCTGTCCCACAAAGTTTAATTAAGAGTGAATCTTGACCTACTGTAATACACACCTATAACGAATAGCTAGACACATGAATGAATAAGATATTTTTTTACATTTTAAATATTAAGAAGTATTATTTATTTGTTAATAAAAACAAATATATGAGGATAATAATTGTTTTTGAATATGGGGTCATACAATTTAGTATTTTTAAGATTATTAATGTATTCACTACGTTTTATAATTGAATATGAGTTTTTAGTATTACATATGTTCAATTAATTATTCAGTTTGTAGTACGTATACCTTATTGTGTGACTTATTGTTGGTTACCCTGTGTAGCAGATTTGTTACAAATTAAACTAAACTTTTAATTATTAATAAATGGAAAATTTTTATCACAAAAATAGAAGCGCAAGTTTCATAACATTTGCTTTATTATTAAGAACAACAAGGGTCCTTTATCCCGTCCACATTTTTTTAATCGTGTCCTCCGCCTTCACTGATAACCAGCCCCGGCGGAATCCTGTACTACACGGGGCCCTGATTAGGGCATTAGCAGGCAAATGGTTCCCTAGCCGAGCTGCCTCCTGCTGCCCGGACTACCACATCGGCACGGCCAAATTATATGGCGTTTAAGGGCGCCCGTCGACTTGCCCTTATTTATCGTACATGGTGTGAAATATGTTTTCTGTCATGTACGTACACAAACTGCCACTGGATTCGGGTTTTTCGCGTGGTTCGCTGTGCGACTGTTATTAAATTTGTCTCGAAATGTTTCTGCCAGAAAAAACACGATGGGATATTACAGCTTGACCAAGTTAAATATTTTGATTGTTACTTGCTTCATAGCCATATTTATTAACTAATAATACACAAGATGAACCTTAAATGAGTAAACATATTTTAAACAACGTTACAGTTTACTATATTACTATATAATTAATACATAGTTTTTTTGCAATAAAAAAAATGGGAGCAAAAATATCGAAATTAAAATAAACATGCCTTAATTTTTAATAGAAAGCTTGTTGAGAATCCCTGACATGGCATTATTTTTTAAATACGTTTTCGCAGATCTACCATTGCACTACTCATGTAAACCGCCATATTTCACTTGAATACGCAGTAGTTCACTAGCAATATTAATCAGAGTTAAAGGCACTTAAAAGAAAAACACCGTCCGTGAAAATAACAAATCGTTACGTAGGTCAACCCGACAACACCCACACTGTACTGTACTGACATTCTCCGTACATTAACACCATATCTGGTAGTTCTTAATCAGAAAACATTTTTCACGCCGGCTAAGTAACACAACATGCAACTAAATAACAATACTGACCTACCATCAGATTTGCTTGATTGTGGAAGTCACGTGGAACGTCAGCCAATTAGAGAGGCGCTTCATGCATGTAGCGAGTTCGAAGCATTCTGATCGTGCACGTGCACAAGATGCACAGGGTCGGCTT